CCTATCCCCCTGTGTGCCCTTGCCTCCCACGACTGAAGCCCCTCCCAGCCCCGCAGCCCGGAGGTGATTCGGAGCAGGCGGCTTTATGCAATCTGGGCAATCTTGTGACACTTCTCCCTGGGGGTCCGGGCTGGGACGGCAGGGCGGGGGTCATCCTCAGAACGGAAAACAAGCCCAAAGCCTCAGGCCAAGCCGGGCCGGGGCCAGGGGGAAATTCCAGCACCAGCAAGGAGGGGAAGACCCACGGCAGATGCCCCCCACCCCAAAAATGGAGGATTGTAGCCAACCTTGTGGCCCTGAGGACTACCAGGTGGGAGGGGCTGGTACACGGCCTCCCACCATCCTGACCCTCCTCAAACCCAGAAGCCAGTTTGGCCCTCATTTATTAAGCTGCAGGATAATTGTTATGCTTTGGGCTGAGCATGTTCTGGGTGCTCAGCCATTATCAGGCGTAAACCATGACATATAGCATGATACGTGGACCAAGCTAATCACGTTTTTTAAATACACCGTGGTTGCACAAAGCTGTGGTTTGCATAACCTAAGCAGGTCAGTGGCCCGGCACCATGGCCTATCAATCTCCGACTTCGAACCCCTGGGCTTCCCAAACCTCTCCACCTCTTATGGGTGTTGTTCAGGAGGCAGCCCCTCGCAGCACCCGGGAACAGTTCTGGGCAACGCTCTCCTGTCCTGAGCCCCTCTCATTCCTTCTGCGGAAGCCTTTTCTGGTGGACTGATCCCCCTCTTAACGAGCGGGCAAAAGAGTCGACCCAGGCTTGCCACGCCTGATTTCCAGGCATAGTAACCCACTTATCCAGGGGAGGCCTGAAGGCGGAGGCTTCCACCCAGTCCTACCACCTTTGTTTAAGCTGCCCGTCCTCAGCCCGACCCTGCCACCTTGCGGTCATTACCTCTCCTCAAAATGCAGGAGCGCCTCGTTCAAAGCGCTTTTGAATCCAGCGACTTTTCCTCGGAAGGGCTTCTTTGCACATGCCAGCGCTGTGGGTGCCCTGATCGGGCAGGAGCCCTGGTTCTGCTGAACCCGGGTTCGGGCCCCACCCAGAGGGAGCAGCTGGCCCCGGGCCACCAGTGCCCGTGCATCCAGTCACAGTGGGGGGCGGGCACCCAAGCCTCGGTGGCGGAACGAAGCCTTCCTACGGGTGCTCCGCTTGAAAAATATTTGGAAGCCGCAACCGCGAGCCAAAGACAGCCGTTAGCCGCCCACCAGGACCCCGATCCTGGGGGATCCGCACGGCCTGCCTGCGGAAGGCGCTGGCGTTAAGCGTTATAATCAGCTCGGCTTTGGCTCATTCGCTTTCGGGGCTGCAACATCCTTGGCTCGTGGGGATACGAACCCCTTGACCGTTAAGCCCCCTTAAGGAGGTGCCCCGGCGCAGCAGGGCGTCTGTCGGCTGGGGGGCGCGGATCCCCCCTTCGCCGCGCGGCGGGCGCGGGAGCTCCGCGCGGCCCCCGCTCCTCCCGCTCGCAGGAAGGGCCTCCGTCGACCCGGACTTTCGAGCAGCAGCGGAGTCGTTTTGGGCATTCCTCT